TTCCCATAGACTGTGACAGTTTGCAAAGGGTATGAATAATTTTGGACATGCCACTTTTTGTTCAAATGTAAATAACAAGGATGCCTCTTGTACATCTTCTTATTATCTTCTGGGAGACGCCTGTGTCATTTCCGTTCAAAAAAAAAAACTTACTGTTGAATAAAAGTAACTTTAAGTCAAAATTTGCCTGGGGTATGAATAATTTCGTGCTTGACTGTATACTGTACATTATATATACTGTCATTATATATACTGTACATTATATATACTGTCATTATATATACTGTACATTATATATACTGTCAATTACTTGAACCAATAAAAAACTCTTTCCCTGCAGTTGATCCAGTTCCTGGTGTCTCTCGTCCAGTCCAACCGGGTCCTGGGAGTCAAGAGGAAGATGCAAGTTTACTAAACAATATGCTACACTGTATACTATACAACTGTGTTTAGTACTGTGTAATATCTGTATTTACTGTGTGATATGTGTATTTACTGTGTAATATCTGTATTTACTGTGTGATATGTGTATTTACTGTGTGATATGTGTATTTACTGTGCAGTCCTCTGATGCTGAATGACTCTAGCTCTACCCACTCTGTGCCTAAATACAGTCGGCCGTTCTCATTGGAGCACATGCAGGTAACCTATCAATGACTCACCTGTCAGAGGTCATATGACTCATTGTTAATGTTCTCTTAAAGCTACGTTTGGTTTGATGATGGTTTATACAGACGGCCTCTCTGATGTTATTGATTGTTTGGATTGGTAGATGAGCTGATTGGATTTTTATTGATTGTTAAAAGTTGATTCCTGACTGATTAGTTCTGACTGTTTGTGTTTTCAGGCTGCAGCCAGTCTGTTCTCAGCTGACTCCCCAGTGAATTCTGGACCAATAATCTCTGACATCACAGAGGTGGCCACGCCCACAGCTGAGGATGTGGTCAGTGATTGGACAGATGCGGGGTAAGAAGCAATGAAATAATGTCTACTGTGGTCAGTAAATTTCATGTAGCCTAAAGGTCAAGTTCAAAACATGAGCAGCAGAAAAATACGACAAAGGAGAATTAATAAGTAAGAAAAATACAACATAAGGAGTAACATGCACCGCAGATCAAAATTAAGAGACCAAGGACTCCTCAGAGAGCGCCAGAGAGCTGAAGAGGAGGCAAAGATATTGCAGGAGGTGAATTAGAGTCAAATGATACACACATTGATATGATTCATTGTGAAAAAAGGATTTTAATCTGATGTCAATCCACAATAAACCTCTATGAATCCCCAAAAAGACAATCATCATGTTTTATCTTTGTTTTTTCTTTAGTATCAAAGAAATCCAGTGATAACTGCCTGTACATGCATGGTACACTGGTAACAGGAGCTGCTAACTCAGCTCACTGTTAATGGAGACAATCTAACCCAATGTATGGAGAGAAAAGGAGTACTGACCTGTAGCTGACATTACAACAGAACATTTGATGAGCTTTTACAGGGTCTTGCTCTCCTGATGGATTTGTGTCAGTGCTCTAGATATAGGGCAGAGGTCATAGCATTTTCTAACAGACAATCCTCTGCCTGTTTGACCTGCAGAGAGAGCCAATCAGTCAACGTCAAACAGGAACCATCCAGTCCTGATGTGGAAGTGTGTTCTTCTCTGGAGGGCGGCGCTTTACCTGTAGACACGCCGCTCTCACCCACCACCTTTATAAACTCCATCCTACAGGACAGTGAGACGCAGCTGACCCCAAATACCTCCATCACCAATCCTTCAACAGGTACAACTTATAAACACCTCCACCAGCGGTTACTAATGGTTTGTGGTGTATTTACTAACTCTGGTCTGTATTGATTTTTTAGTTTTAGTTTTTAGTTTTTATTGATGATTGTATTGATGATTGTCAGTAGCCAAGTATCTTCTCTCAGTTTGATCCTTGACTCTCTGTTTCGAATCTCTCTAGCCAGTCCAATCGTTGTGGTGAGCCCTGCTTCCACTGGGCCCCTCCCACCAACCCCAGCCAGCCAATCACCTGCTTCCGTTCCCACCCCAGATACTGCCCCCAGCCCCTCCAAAACTCAGCAGAAATGTCAGACCATCGCCTGTATTGACAGGTAAGTCTTTTACACCTGCTTTACAATCACCGTTACCTGCTAGTGTTATCTGCTCTTAACTACCTGTGCTGCTAATGACTGCCCCAAAACCTTCAAACAACTTCTAACCGATCACTTTAACTGCCATGTATCGTTGCTCCCCTCCTACTGTCCCCTCTTGGTATCCCCTCCTTACCCCCTCCTTGACCCTCTATGGGAACATGTTACCCAGAATGCACTGTTGTCTACATAAGAAGGTAATAAATGTCTGATTAAGGGTAGGGTACCTGTTTAGTAATCTGCAGTATGTTCTATATGTGTTCTCCTCAGATGCTAGTTTCTTTTTGTCATTAAAACCCCTGTGCTTCCCTCAGACCCCGCCCCCCTCCCTCTGCAGGTGGAGTCTCACCTGACGTTTGGCGCTTCTTATCAACACGATCTGACAAGTGAATCAATGAATCTAAATAATCTTTAAGATTTTAAATATTAGTTTGTTTCACAGGATCAGTCTGGTGATGTTCTATATGTTTCTTTTTGTCTCAACAGTGAATATTGCGAACTTGTTGTTCAACATGAGATTTAATGACAAGAAGAAAAATATAGAATAACACCAGACTGATGATCTAACTTAACATCCTGTCTGTCTCTCTGCCTGTCTGTCTGTCTGTTGCAGGTCAGAACTGTCTGATCATGTGGACAGTATTGACAACAGTCTAGAAAACCTGCAGAGCATCCTGAACACACAAACCTTCACCTTTGACACTTCCCCACTCATGGAGGTCAGTCAGTTCAGTAACAGTGATCAATAACAGTGACCATTAACAGTGATCAATAACAGTGATCAATAACAGTCTGTCTGTGTGTGTTCAGTTCTTCAGTTCGTCCTGTCCATCGGGAGACTTTGACCTCGACAGTTTGGATACTGTGAGTTCAACAACACTCTTATTTTATTTCTGTACTTCCTGTCCTGAATATTTTCACAGTAAGAGCAGCTCTCTGCTCACCTTTGAATAAAAACAACCATTCGATCGTGATGTCGAAGCTGTCTGACTGTGATGTCACTATTTCCTCTCAGCTACTTTCTGAAGAAGTCCCTAAAGGAAGTGATGAAAGCACCGCCAACCACACAGGTAACAACACACTGACACAGGTAACACAGGAAACACTGACACAGGAAACACAGGAAACACTGACACAGGAAACACAGAAACACTGAACAAACACAGGAAACACTGACACAGGAAACACAGGTGATACAGCGTAACAGGAACCACATGACACAGGGAAACACAGGTGATACAGGTAACACAAGGAACACAGGTAACACAGAACAGAAACACAGAGTGATAGCAGGTCAACAGAAACACAGGGTAACACAGACACAGGAAACACAGGTGATACAGTAGAACACAGGAAACACAGGTAACACTGACACTGATTGTATTGAATGCCTGTTGTCATGGTGACTCTCTGCTGCTTTCTGATTGGTCCAGGGAAGCAGCTGGTGCATTACACGGCCACACCAGTCCTGATGTCTGAACCAATCAGCTTGGGGGAGGGTGGAGTCGACCTGCCCTCCCTGCTGGAGCTGGAGGCGGAGCCTTTCTTCAGCACTGACCCGCCCACCGATGACCCAGCCGCCCTGCTAAGCCACGCCCACCTGGACTCTGACCTTTGACCTCTTTAGAGGGGGCAGGGACATAGAATGTGATTTATCTGTCACCATAGCAACGGGACAGTCTGAGTGCTGACTCAGCAGCAGCAATAGATGATGAAATCAATCGATCAGCTGTAGATCAATCAGTAGGTCAAAGGTCATGTTTTTATTATGCAGTCGATATTAACAGTTTATATACCTGTGTCTTCTTCTACTCTTTTTATTTTAGCTGTCTTTGCTGCTTTAATGAAACGTTCTCAGAGAACAGAGTCAACCTGCTCTCAGGTGTGACAGGATCATGTGACCCAGCTGTTCTCTGTGTTCTGCATGATGATTGGTTGTTTAAGATGTAGAAGATGAACAGAATCTTATCTAAATATTTTTGGAAGAGTTTATTATGAATGAGTGTTTATTGTCCCCCAATGACCCCTGTTACCATAGAGATGCATTTATTTGACCTGTTGGATAAATATCAGTTCAGGTTAATCAGATCAGGTATCAGCCACGATTCCGCATTAAGTGAATCATCAGAGAGAGAGAGACAGACAGACAGACAGATAGACAGAGAGAGAGACAGACAGACAGACAGCGAGAGAGAGACAGACAGATAGACACAGAGAGAGAGGCAGACAGACAGACAGACAAAGAGAGAGAGAGAGAGACAGAGAGACACAGAGAGAGAGACAGACAGACAGACAGAGAGAGAGACATAGACAGAGAGAGAGGCAGACAGACAGACGGTGTGTGCACAGTGATGATAAGAGTTCCTCTTAAAATGACGGACAGAAGATCAATATTTAAACATCACATCTGGCTGTTGATTGGTTGATCAGAACTGATTCACAAACAGGAAGCTGCCCTTCAGTATAAAGCGTTTGTCATTACCATGTTTACTTTGGTAATGTTTAAATTTAAACGTTAATGAAATGTGTTTGACCCACCTGACAGCGCTCCACCTGCCGGGGAGAGAGGGATTGTGGGAAATAAAGACGGGGGTCAAAGGTCAGATAAAATGTTGAAAACACTTCAGTTGAATAAAACCTTTTAAACCAACACAGTGTATATTTATATTTTCACTATTGAACACCTCATGATGGTGATGTCATCAGGTTATTGATAAAGAACTGATCAGTTTGGACAGAAGACAAATTCTCAGTTTGATGTTCAAAATAGAAAAAAAACATTTATTGTAGATGTTTAAAACCACATTTTACAGTCTGACAGTGAAGGTGATGTCACATCCTGTATGATGTCATCAGCTTAAAACAGTCAGTGTGTCGGCCGCGATCCAGTGGAAACTTTATTCTGATTGCTTTCCACTCACTGATTCTCTAAAACCAACATCTATAAACAAACTTTAAATATTTCATAAACACCACGGAGCCGCTGCCGTTCAGTGGGCGGGGCCTACAGCTAGTGGGAGGGGTCTGATTTCCTTGGCCAAGCTGATTGGTCAGTACACTGGAATCGGTAGCGCAGGAATCGAACTCGTGGCTTGATGTGGAAGTCAGCAGGTATCCTCCAGTTCCACATTTTCTGCACCTGAAACAGAAAAACCTTTTCATCTTTATTGTTTAAAATTTGATATTAAAACATTTGGAACATCAACAGTTGTGACTTCATCTCTCTGTTACAGCAACTGTTTACATAATCAATCGATCAAATTGGCATTAAAGGAACCGCACTAAGCTGGTTTAAGTCATACTTATCAGATCGTTCTCAGTTTGTACACGTTAACGATGAATCTTCCATAAATACTACAGTTAATCATGGAGTTCCACAAGGTTCTGTACTTGGACCAATGCTATTTACTTTATATATGCTCCCTTTAGGCAACATTATTAGGAATCACTCCATAACCCTTCCCCATGCTATGGCAAGATGATGCGCAAGTTAATAATTCTATCGATCAAGCCCGATTGAAATTTAATTCAATTAAATCTAAATTTTTTACAAAATTTCAATTCAAATTCAATTCAATTTATTTGTTATAGCCGCCAATTCTAAACAGGGAAGTTACTTTTTTCAAGTGGACAACCTTTTTCCAAATTAGAGCAGTCCTAGGGGGAACCCGAATTTCCTTTTAAACATTTTAACAGGGACCCCAAAAAAACCAGTACCACCAATGAGGGCAAGGCCACTTGGCGGGACAGGCAAGAAAAAAAACGGCCTTTTAACGGCAGAAAACCTTCAGACAGACCTTGGCTCTAGTATCTTAAGACTATCGGGGGGATTTTCCCATTGGTGCAGCTGACTCCTTCTTCCTCTCTCTCTCTTTCTTGCACTCATTTCCATGTCCCATAATGCATTGTTTACTAACTTCCCACTTCTTCCCGGGTTCTTTGTTGCTTTATCCGTCTGCAGTCTCAAGGGATCCTGGAGGAGCCTCTTGCCCCATGGTCCTTGCCTTGGAACTTTAACATTGCTAAAATTTCATGATTAATAATTTTTTTACCTATTATTAAGATTATTAAGTTATTAATTATTGCTACAGTTACTGTTGGTCGCTACTTCGCCTGTCCCCCATTCGTTGCTTGCTGACACGTCATTTGTTATTTTTCAGGATCGCATCGATCATTACTATTAATTGTACGTTAAAGTCCCCCCCAACTGGTCAAAGGGCAATGGACCACCACCAGAGGCGGAAAGATATCGTCCTAGGGTTTCTTGCTGTTATAAAAGGCAGTTTTTGCAGTTTCTTCCCCCGGTCGCCAAGTGCTGCTTCAAGGTGGTACTGTTGGGTCTCTGTAAATGTTAAAAGGAGTTCGGTCTAGACCTGCTCTATTTGAAAAGTGTCCTGAGATAACTTCTGTTATGAATTTGCGCTATACAAATAAAATTGAATTGAATTGAAACTGAGGTCACCCAGGTCTGGAATTTTTTCTGAGGGGTATATGAAAAAAGTCGTAAAATAATTGTGTAAAAATAACTATTTTAATGCTTCAATGCCCCAAACCCCTCCTAGTAAGTCATGTTTGTCTGGTAAACCCTGCCTATTGCAATGCTAGTGAAAACAGCTTAATACTAAGACAACACTGAAAATGTCCTTAGGATGAGGATAAAACACTCCAAAAGAATTCTGGTTAGGACTTGAAGTTGAGTCAGACTCAAGTCACATGACATTAGACTCGACAAAATCAAAAAAAGACAACAGACTTGTACTGTAACACCAATGACTTCTTGACTTCACTTGGCCTCAATAAAAATTTAAAATACTTTACTACCTTCACTGAAACCCAAA